TATACTGTCAATGACAGTTAACTAACGTAATTGTACTGCCGCTTACAATACATTAACGTAATGATATATTTTTTTTTGTTATTTCTTTTATTTTGTTTGATTTGTTGACAAGTCAACGTAATTATATTACTGTCGTTGACAGTAAAATAACTGTAAACACAATAATATTACTGTCAACGACATCAATATTATTATTTTCTTGGGTTTTTTTGTTTTGTTTGAGTTATTCACGGAGTAACGTAATAATATTACTGTCTATTATTGCAAGCAATATTATTGTAAACACATTAATATTACTGTGGTTGACGGTAATATTACTGTTGTTATAGTAATATTGTTGTCAACCACATCAATATTATTATTTTGTTTGGATTTTTTTGTTTGTTTGAGTTATTCACGGAGTAACGTAATAATATTACTGTTTATTATTGTAATATTACTGTGGTTGACGGTAATATTACTGTTGTTATAGTAATATTACTGTACACTCACAGTAATATTAATTCTTTTGGCTTTTTATTATGTTTACATTTGTTGAACGGTCAACATAGTAATAGTACTCTATTACACAATAATAATGAGTTTTGTTGTGTTAATATTACTATGCTAGAGATTAATATAACATATTATTGTGTTAAACTGTAGTTTAGTTAATTTTACTGTGTTTAACAGTAATATAGTTAATATTACTGTCAATCATAGCAATATTGTTGTTTAAACGAAAAAAAAAATGTTGCAGAAAGAAAAAATAAAATAAAATTAAAAAGTCAACGCCGGAATCCGGCGGAAAAAAAAATTGAATTTTTGTTTTTTTGAAAAAAAAAGGTTTTGGGTCAAAATTGAATAATTTGTGAAATTTAGGGTCAAACTGAGGTTAAATTAAATTAAGGATGAAATTGGAGCATTTTAAAGTAAAATGGGCTATTTTAGTCTTTTACAAAAATCTGAACCATGTGTGGACTTATTTGTAAAATAATTTTTTGTCTGAATCTCTTTATGAATAATAAGTACTCATTGGTGGGTTTATTTGTAATAACTCCTTAATATTTTATCAAAACAACTTATTCTTGTAATCAAAATTAATAATTAGTTAAAATATAATTATCATAATAATTGTAAAAGAAAAAATATTCTCTATTTATATTTTATGGGGTCATTAGCAATACACCCCTCCTATAGATATAAAATAATGATATGTCCATACCATAATTCTTCCTTTGTGAAAACCCCCTATAATATTTATTTCCAATCTTACCCTTCTAGTTCCTATCATGTTTTTTTTTATAATTATCCAGCATTTTCAAAATCCCTATTAATGAGGCACATAATCCCGCCAATTAGGCTTAATTATATACTTTCCCTAATAAAACTGCTCCTAATTAAAACAAATAAAAAAAAATCACGCCGCATACATCATTGTGAAGAAGAAGCACAGATTGAGAATCTTCCCCAAAATCAAAAACTCCCAAAAAATCGAAACCCTCTCTTCGAATCTGTAGTCACATACCAAAATCGAAGATATTTGGTACAAAATCGTCCACCTACTTTCCCCATTAATAATCGTACTCTGTATTAGTTGTGTTTCAGTAGTCATAAACCAATGTAGTTGAGTTGCAGTAGTCACATTCGAATCTGCGTTCTGAAATGAAGAAGAAAGCGTCACATAAGCGTAAACGAGGACCCAATCCTCAGGACATTATGAAGCTCGACGCCAGTTAGTCTGTATACCTAAATCCTAAGTTTTCGCGAAGCATTTTTTGTACAATATGAAAATTCCACGAATATTTTTTTTTTTGTGCCCATAGATCCAATTTAATTTCACTTTGGGGTTTTTTTGGGGTGATTTACTTTTGCATACACAGAGTTTTTGAGACAACATTCACGATTACCATCATGACTATGTGTGACTATGCTACATATACATTGAATTCATGGTTGTTCCGATATTATTGAATTGTGTTATTTTGTATGTATGTCCAAATTGAAATTATAAACAATGTTAATGGTGTTATGAATTTTTAACTTTTGCAGTGGAAAGGTGATATGATTTGATCATGTAATAAAAACCTCTAACTAAATTAGTGTATTGTTGTAGTAGTCTTATGTAGTCATGTTGATATAATGACTTGTATATGTCTGCATGTTGATAGAATTACTTGTATATGTCTGCATGTGTGCCCGTAGATCCAAATTAGTTCCACTTTGTTGTTTTAGAGGCGATTTACTTTTGTATACATAGAGTTTTTAGGACAACAATCATGTTTGGTATCCGTGCCAGTTTAACTTGTTTTGTATGCGTTGATATTTTATATGGAGTTATGTTGTAGCCTTGTGTTTAAAGTGTTAGGATAGTAGACTAAAAGTCTCGCTTTTAGCTACATAATTTTATTATTGAATTAATAAAATAGTATATTATCATTTTATGAGAATCTGCAATAGGGTATTCAATGCATTTAATTGGTTGTTTGTCAATTAATTAAAAGCATAAGTCTAATATTCTGATAGTATTCGAAATGGTGTGCTACGGCGCACAGAAAGATCATTTCAAAAGTTCGTTTAGAATATAAAAATAAATGTTCACAATCTAGATGGAAATGGACTAACCATTGGTAAAAGATTGTAGCACAATATTTTAGTGATTGGTCTTGATCACAGTAACCAGAGAATAACTTTTGTAGTTATTGTTTTGACTTATTGTGCTAGCACACCCGACATGTGTTGAATCGGACAAAGTGAAATAATTGTTTCATCACTTTTCATAAATGAAACTGTATTATTTCTAGTTGACAGTAAATTACATACTCTATTAATCCCTAGATAATTAACATACATATTTAATTGATGATCTCTACTTTGATGTCACAATGGGAGAGATTCCTATATTGAGTCAAATGGCCCCCGGTGCGTTGGGTAGAGACACTAAGAATTAATAAGTGGAAATTAATTATCGAAAGGAATCCACATCTCTGAAATATGAGATTGCTAATAACCCTTGAGTAGCTTATAAGATTTGTTTATGCCAAGTCCTGGCCAAGTGGATTTCGTATCTGGCATACTCAAATAAGTTAAGCGGGTAAGACTCATGTAAAGAAACCATTTAATTTATTTAGCAGTCAATAAATTATTTGGTGGTTATAAGATATCTTAATGTGGGGAGAATCTAAGTAATGATCGACCGGAGCTCGAATGTAATATTTGAGAATATAAACGGGAGTTCAATAATTATTTGCTAGTGGAAAATAAATAATTATTTCATGAATTAAATGAATTCTTTTAAGAGTTTGGATTTAATTAATTATTAGTTGCCCAATTTATATTTTCTCCTTTAGTCCCTATTGTAGCCCGTTGGATTTTCTAATTAATCGAGAGAAATAAAGTTCAACCACTATTATATATTGGAATTAATATAGCCGAAAATTAAGTTCCCATTGGACTGCAATTTTCGACTATATAGAGTTATAGAAGGAGTGAGATTTGTTTCCATGTAATCCTCTCTATGTGGGACTCTAATTCCTTGTGCTATATATAATAGAGATTGAGTTGATGAGAGAGACGAATTATGTTGCACGTCTATTTCATGTTGGGGGAGAGAAATATTTTTCTCTTCTTCTTTTCTCTCTAAGTTTCTCGATCATAGATTTAGATTTCTTCAAGTACAAGTCCACCATTGTAAAAGAATTATTAATCCGGGATATACAATAGAAGATTATAGGTTTT